GAAGCATGCTCCCTTCCCCAGCTTAAATTGTTATTTTTCTTGATACGTCTCTGTTGTACTTGTATATATATCTGCACAGGTTTATTTGGTGGTCTGGTCCTAGCCTCGTCACTACTTCGCCGGGGTTAGGCTAGGCACTTACCAGCACATGGGGTCGGTTGTGCTGATACTACACTCTGTGCTATTTTGCACAGATCCAGGCTTCGGACAACAGCAGCAGTAGTCTGGGAGCAAGCTTTCAGTCCAGCGAGACCCGAGGTAGCCTTGCAGGCGTTCGCAGGCCTTGGCGTCTCCTTTCATCTAGATTCCTGTTTCTTTTATGTATTTCTGGAGATAGTGTCGAGTTTATTTCTTTCAGACCTTTATGTGTAGTATTCTTAGACCGTCTGTTAAGCTATGACACCAGTCTTGGGTAGAGGCTTTGGTTGAGATCTTCCGCATTTTTATTCAGTTTTCTATAATATTGAGACTTCCGCTTATTATTTAATTTCGTTGCTTTTGAATTACTGCCGATAATTGTTAAAAAGGAATTATGTTATTAATGGAAAACAAATTAAATTTGGCTTGCCTAGCTCTCATTAGTAGGCGCCATCACGACTCCCGATGGTGGAAAATTCGGGTCGTGACATCTCTCTTTGTTTATTTGGTCACATAGACTAATTCGTATAATTCGAGTTCGGCTGGGACCCGCAGTTGTGGACCTCGAAAAGTGCCTAACATCTTCTCTTCGAGGTAATTTCGAGCCCTTACCCGATCTTTAGTGACACAAACTAGTCAAACACAATTATTTGTAAATAGGTACCCTAATGCACCTTAAACCCGTTAGGTGGCGACTCTCTCTTTTAACACCTTCCTTAAAAGATTTGTCACGTTTCAAAATCGGATTTCGTGAGAAGAAGGGGCGCGACACCGGCCAATAAGTTTATGCATTGCCTAGACTTGATTGTTGTGTGCAGTACTCAATAGAGCCCTCGTGAGGGGTGAGGGCAAGGTAGAAGAGGCATTGTTCCTGTTAATGAAAAGAATTCAAGCCAAGGGGAAGATTTGTTATTTTGTGGCTTGAATTATTTCCTTGTATTTTTTGGAAACCCATAATCATTATAGGTTTAGGAAAACCCTTTGTCCTAATAGATTTGGGAAAGGAAAACATATAGTCTTTGTCAAATTGGAAAACCTTTCTCTTATAGGTTTGGGACTATTTGGGATCTATAAATAAGGGTTGTAGTTGGGGATTCAACAGATGGTATTGTGATTTCTCATTCATATTGGAAAACTCTCTCTCCTTTTGCCCCTAGAATTAAGCTTAACCGAACCTCATTAAATCATTGTGTTAAATTTTCTTCTCTATTTGCTTGTGTGTGATTATGTGCTAGTTAACCCACGATCTTCCGCAACAATTAGATTTCTAATACTTAGGACTTTCAAAATTAATTAACATTTTGTTTATTAGTTCTTTCTTATTTGACTATATAGAAAGTTTAAATTCAATTAAAACTTTATCTTATATAAACTCCTTTCCTGGTCAATTAACATTCCTCTATCACTAAAATTTTTTATTTCTCATTATTCTCTAGGAGTACTGATAGGTTATGCATCCTGTTATATTTTGATGATCTAACAAACATACTGTTAAGAACCAGATGGAAAACCTGTTCCACATCCTCAAGTACACAAGAACAACAAGTCTCAAGTTGGGGACATGTTTCAACATTTCAGAGTCAAAGAAACAATAGAGGGAATAGATAAACATCAGTTCCCTTGCTGACTGTACCCTTCAATACCCACCGCTAAAGTCGCTACAACTGTTTCTCTGCACACACGCAACCACGCAAACGCTGCTGCAATCACTTTATGGGGAATGACCTTGTACCAAACATGCTTGCATCATTCAAGTGATGTCACTTATGTAATATTAACATGAAGCAAAGGAAAAACATTGCACTCGCACATTCCAGTATTCATCAAGCTTTCTCTCAAGTGTGTCGCAATCTGGCAAGTAACTTTCAAGAGCATCAAGAACAAAGAACAATATAACGAAGGGCCAGCTTCCTGCATCGAGTCATTATATGTCCTTAGTTGTGTCGCACCTTTGTTAAAGTGATTTACTTGTAACTCCTACTTAGCTTAGTTAGAAGTATTGTGTAGGAAACCTTTTGTAAAACCATAAACCTTGTGTTTGTGTTTTGGCTAGAGTTAGTCGAGTTGTAAGCTTTGTAATTGAGTTATTACGAAGGGGCTTGTGATAGAGTTATTACAAGTTAGTAAGGGATTAAGAGGTTAATTCCTAGGTTACAATAGTTTGTAATCTGAAGTTTGCTCAGTAGTAAAGTTGTAATCCAACGAGGGTAGGTCGTGGTTTTTAATCTCGTGAGCTGGGAGTTTTCCACGTAAAACTCTATTGTGTTATTCACTTACAGATCTGTGTGTGTGTTATGTGGGAACTAATAGAGAACCTGGTTCTCTATATAGTTTGGTGAACCCTTAGTTTCTAACAATTGGTATCAGAGCAAGTTCTTTCTATCAAGCTAAAACCTAGAAAAGATCCTCATGGCTGCTCCACCAAACTTTGAAGAAGGTCAATCTAAGGCTAAAGTGGGTACTTGCAAGCAAACATTCTCCAAGACCACCTTAGAAGAGTGTGAGTGCATCGATAAGAAAGGAGGGGTTGGCAGCACTTCCATTATCTCTGAAGTGATTGAAGCTCAGAACATTACCACTGAGGAGATAAGGAAGCTGAAGGCAAGGAATGATATTCTCGAAGGCCAGGCCTAGTGAATAGGTCGAGGACCTGAAGGAGAGGATGCTTAACGAGCAGGTGTCGGCAAATGCTCGAACGGACATCCTCCTTAGAACCCTTGCCTCTTCCTCTGTACCTCCCCCTTCCAGTGCTCCTTAAAATCGTCCCCTTCGCAGTGTCAAGTTCAAGTTGTGTGTTCTTTGTTTTGGTTTCCTGTGTTTGGATATGTTTAGTGGCTGTACCTTTTTGTTATTTTATTTTGTGGGTGATTATGTAACAAATGGAACTGCTCCCTGTTTATTTCCAAAATTAATGAACATCCCGTCCTTTTGTTATGCATTCCTTGCTCTTCGGCTATGTTTTTAGTCATGTTTGTGTGCACACATGTGGCATGAGTTAACCAAACTAGACTTCTTTTTGCTTATTGCTTGATACTAATCTTTTTATGATGCCAAAAGGGGGGAAATAATTGAGGGGGGACAAGAGGGGGAACAAGTTCAGGGGGAATACTGGAACTATGTATGATACTCTAATTCTCAGGGGGAACTCCAGTTACAAGTTTGTCATCATCAAAAAGGGGAAATTGATAGGCTAGCATCATGTTATGTTTTGATGATCTAACAATCTTACTGTTAAGAACCAGTGGGGAACCTGTTCTACATCCTCAAGTACTCAAGAACAACAAGTCTCATGTCGGGGACATGTTTCAACATTTCAGAGTCAAAGAAATAACAAGGGGGGTAGATGAACATCAGTTCCCTTGCTGACTGTACCAGTCAACCCCCATAGCTATAAAGTCACTACAACCGTTTCTTTGCACGCATGCAACAGTGCAAAGAGTGCAGCAATCACTTTATGGGGAATGCCCTTGTACCAAACATGCTTGCATCATTCAAGTGATGTCACTTGTGTAATATTAACATGAAGCAAAGGAAAAACATTGCACTCGCACATTCCAGTATTCATCAAGCTTTCTCTCAAGTGTGTCGCAATCTGGCAAGTAACTTTCAAGAGCATCAAGAACAAAGAACAATATAACGAAGGACCAGCTTCCTGCATTGAGTCATTATATGTCCTTAGTTGTGTTGCACCTTTGTTAAAGTGATTTACTTGTAACTCCTACTTAGCTTAGTTAGAAGCATTGTGTAGGAAACCTTTTGTAAAATCATAAACCTTGTGTTTGTGTTTTGGATAGAGTTAGTCGAGTTGTACGTTTTGTAATAGAGTTATTACAAAGGGGCTTGTGATGGAGTTATTACACGCTAGTGAGAGATAAAGAGGTTAATTCCTAGGTCACAATAGTTTGTAATCTGAAATTTGCTCAGTAGAGAAGTTGAAATCCTACAAGGGTAGGTCGTGATTTTTTATCCCATGAGTTTGGAGTTTTCCACGTAAAACTCTATTTGTGTTATTTTGCTTACTGCTCTGTGTGTGTGTTCTGTAGGAATTAGTAGAGAACCTGGTTCTCTATATAGTTTGGTGGACCCTTAGTTTCTAACAAGTATTTTTTAATAATTTGGTTTTGCATGGAGTTTTAGGAACTTCAACTCCAATGCCAAACTAGGTTTTATCTATAATTGCATGAGTAGATACATTATGACTAGTCAAACCATTAACGTGCATATCGAATCTTATTGACAACGAAGACACACATGTTTATAGCTTTCAAAACTAAAGAAAATCAGAACCAGCTAAATGTTTATGCAATTACATTTGCGTTGCTATTTAAATTGTGATCTTGGTTAACTACGTAGGAGTACATATTTTAAATTTGTAGTCAAAATAGTATTTATGTAATTTAAAAAGTTTATAGTCTTTGAAACGGAGTACCCACGCAACGTTCGTATCCTAAGACTAGTATTTGATAATAGATGGTGGCACCATACTAATCTTGCACTTTCACAATTTTTCTTGTTTTCTGAGTGTAATACATGTCCAGTCATAATTGTATTTCGAATGATTCCCACTCAAAGTCATGAAATAATATTTGATAATGGGTGGTGGCACTATTTTATAGTTTTTGACGGTTGAGTCCCTTACTGAGACGAGTCATGACTAATTCAATTATGAGGCCATGTGCTTTTTGTTGTCTAATTTGTGTTTTACAGAGTACACAACCACTAATTTTTGGACTAGTTGATCTAAAAATTTGTTTTGCTATTAATTCAATGCCTTTTGGCTATATTTGTTTTAACGCGATGCCTTGTTTACTTATATTTGTTTCTTGAGTTGTTAATACCTATCGTTTTTTTTTTTTTTGGGTGTGTACATATAGACCTGAACCAAGACTAAGTTCTTTCTATCTCATTTGAAAAAGAAACTCGCAATGAATGTCCTTGAATTTTCTCTTTCCCTCTTGATTATTATCATATGTTTCACTTATTCTACCTGGTACCTTACAAGTAGATGGTGCAAAAGCTCAGTGCCAACAAATTGGCCTCTCATTGGAATGTTACCTGGGCTTATTCAAAATGCTTATCGTGTCCATGATTTTGCAACTGATGTTCTTATAGAAACTATGGGCACAATTGAGTTCCATGGTCCTGTTCTTGCCAACTTGAACATGTTAATTACCAGTGATCCTGCAAATATCCACCATATTCTTAGTAGAAATTTCTCAAACTATCCAAAGGGGCTTGAGTTACGTAAAATATTCGATATATTAGGAAATGGGATTTTCAATGTTGATTCTGAGCTTTGGGAGTTTCAAAGGAAGACCACAATATCCTTGATGACCAATGCCAAGTTTCAAACTTTATTAGAGAGGAACACGTGGGACACTATTGAAAAAGGGCTTCTACCAATTCTTGATGCCTTTGCTAGACAAGACACCCCATTTGATTTGCAAGATATTTTTCAAAGATACAGTTTCGATGCTATTATCAAATTGTTACTTGACCATAATCCAAGAAGTTTATCCATTGGTTTGCCTCATGTTCCATGCGAAAAGGCATTCAACGACGCTATGTATGCACTTTTATACCGACATATATTGCCAGAAGGTTGTTGGAAAATGCAAAAATGGCTTCAAATTGGTAAAGAAAAGAAGCTCATTCAAGCACAAGAAGCTTTTGATCAATTTCTATATCCTTGCATTTCACGTAAACGAGAAGAATTGATGAACCAAACAATCAAAGACGAGGACTTCAACTTATTCGCTGCCTATGTAAAAGCATACAATCAATGGAACAATCGAGATTCGAGCAATATACAAAAATTTCTGAGGGACACTTTCTTGAATTTGATATTTGCCGGGAGAGACACCACAAGTACAACCCTCACTTGGTTTTTCTGGCTCTTAGCGAAAAATCCCTTAGTAGAGGCAAGGATTAGAGAAGAGATTCAACAACAATTGCATCTAAAAGAAGATGAAAATCTCAACACGGAAAAAACACGAAAATTGGTCTATCTACATGGTGCTCTATGTGAAACTCTCCGGCTATTTCCAACTCTTTCTTTGCAGCGTAAAATTCCACTTGAGTATGACATCCTTCCGAGCGGTCATCGTGTTAGTCCAAACACGAGAATTGTGCTATCGTTCTATACAGTAGGGAGAATGGAGACTATATGGGGAAAAGATTGCTTAGAATTCAAGCCTGAGAGATGGATAACGGAACGAGGAAGCATCAAACATGTACCTTCTTTCAAATTCCCAGCATTTAATGCTGGTCCCAGGCTTTGTATAGGGAAAGAAATGGGATTCATTCAGATGAAAATGGTGGCAGCCACAATCATACAAAATTACCAAGTCCAACTAGTGGAAGGTCAAATCATTTCTCCCAGTTCTTCTATTATCCTTCAAGTAAAAAATGGTCTGAAAGTTAGGCTCGTTAACAGGGTTCCTGTTCAATCCAGCTAAACGTCCATTGATAAACCATATGCGTGTACAATCTTTAACTTTTTAGATAATACGAATGATATTGTTTTCTTTCTTTATCTGCTTGAAGTTTGTTTACTGCGTAGAATATGTCAACACATTGTTATATGTTCGAATAATTGGGACTTGCCACTTTTATGCGATAACATGTTACCGAACATGAAGTAATCTACCCTTCTGTTCTTAGAGCAGGAGCAACAATATTGCTAATTTTTATATAATGCAAATTGTATTTCCATTGTCTTGAAAACAGAGACAAACGGAAAAAGAAAAAGAAAAAGACAAAAAGAAAACAGAGAGAATGGACCTTCAATTCCTGGCCTCACTACTGTTGATACAATCACATCCCACCATAGTCACCATCTAGTAGTCTGTCTAAATCAAGGCCAATTTTTGACAGCTAAAGCCTTGAAGCTTATTAACGGAAAACACCAAAAACAATAAAAAGGAAGATTCAGTGATGTGTGAATTTTGGGGACATTTTGAACCTTTCCTCTCTTCTTCATTTCTTTTGCTTTTTAGAAACAAATCTGCATTTTTTTTACAAACAAAAAAAAAAAATTAACGAAAATACTAATTAATGTTATCTATTGTAAGATTGTATACGGACAAAATCGGGTTTGCCCTTTGTATGACTAGTCGAGACCAGAACACGATAGGCCAAGGTTCAGCCTCGTGTTATATAGAACTATGATGCAAAGTTAGATTGCCGAGCTCGTGACCCAGAGACCGATCAAGATCGAGATCGATCAAGATCCAGGCCGAGCAAGATAGAGATCGAGCGAGATCGAGAGAAGCTTACCGAGCCAAATAACGGAAAGCCGAAATATTAGCAATCGAGAGAGGATCACGGCGGAAATCACGGCACTTATCAAGTAGAGGCCGATTAATTAGCTAATCATGGGATTTCTTACCTCATATAGAATTGTATCAAGAGTACGTTTCCCCTACTATATAAAGGGGGTATGATCATTTGTAAAAGACATCATATCCACGCAATACAAAGCAATATACTGTCATTTTCTAGCTTTCATTATCTAGTTATTTTGTTCATAAGCCAGTTGAAACATTTTTTGTTTAAGGGTGACTGAACTCGAGGACCAAGGCTATTTAATTAATTTGTGGTTTGTACTCACTCTTTTATCGTCAATTTCAATATTAATTTATTCTCCTTAATTTGTACCAAGTTATATCACGCATCCATAAAACCGCGTATAAATTCAATTGTTATCAGATTTTAGGGTAAACGGTTTGGCGCCCACCATGGGGCTAAGGATAATAGTGATTACCTGGTACAAACTTTTGTGACACACACTATTTTACACTTGTTCTTTGAGTATCTTTGATTACAGGACTAAAATAAAATGTCAAACTCTCAGTCAGCACCTCAACACGTTGACAATGATTTCTGCCACCTCGGCAAAAATGATAACATAGCACTAGGGAACGATGTACCCCCGGTTGGCCTCGATGGAGTCCCGGCTGTAGATCCAATCGACGTCATTTCACATGTAGCCATCTATGGAAATTTGGTCATCGACCCCGAAGGCAGCGTCCGTGGGGATGCTCGATCAGTCGCTCAATGCACACGTGGTGGTGAAGATGGCGGGATCAGCCTACGGGTGATCTTTGAGATGTTGCAGGCTCAGCAGGAAGCAATAGCCCAGCTCCAAAACCAAAATCACACACCGAGCAAGGTCGAGCTCGAGCCGTCCCAGGAAGTTGTACACAGGGTTGAATCGGTTTCAAGAAGATCAAGCGAGAAAGAGTCGGAGACCAACCCTGCGATCATGAAGATGCTCGAAGAACTGACAAAGCGAATCGAGTAGGGGGAAAAGAAGACCGAGGCAAACGACAAGAAGATGGAAACTTATAACTCCAGGGTCGATCAAATCCCGGGGGCACCGCCAATATTGGAAGGACTGGATTCCGAAAAACTCGTACAAAAACCTTTCTCCCCGAGTGTCGCGCCCCCTTTTTCCGTCTTGCGGCGGGGTCCGAGTTTCGATATTCATTGGGAACAACTCATTTCCTTTTGGGAATTAGGTATGAGATTTGAAGAGTCGCCACCTAACGGATTTAAGGTACGTTAGGGCACCTAAAGCAAGTAACTCATAAAACCGGTTTGCATTACCAGATGTTGGGTAAGGGCTCGAAATAACCTTGAGGGGAAGGTGCTAGGCACCCCTCGCGGTCCACAACGGTGGGTCTCGGCCGAACTCAAATTATGTGAATTAGTCTTATAAACAGATAAGCAAATTAGACAAATTGATATTATATTTAAAACAAGGAGTAAAGAGGGGTCCTAGGTTTTTTAGCCTATAGGATCACTTCTGTACAATGCTTGTTAATCGTCCCCAAGTTGGGGTGCTACACATAGCATTAGTGCACATGTCATCATATCCTTTACTACCCAATTACCCTCCCCTTAGTGGTTACATAAGCGATTCTAATTAAGCGTACTCTATGCGTGCATTACCCGTCTCTTTCTTATGGCCCTGGAGGTGTTTAGGACATCTAATTAAGGAAGTTCTAGACTCTCCTAAGGTATTTAAAGGAGAAAATCTAAGCGACAAGCAAAAACAAATAGGACATTCACATAGAAGGGGGCAATTAAAGGCTCACTTTTACCTCCTCACACAAGCAGACAATAGCACGTCTCAAACAGCAAGATTTCAAATATTTTAAAGGGTCCTAGAGCAGGATATCTAGGTGAGCATGATAAATAGAATATATGCAGCATTGTGTTAAAGCGAAGCAATAGAGACCTAATCAGTTTGCCTACTGATTTTAAGGCTTGCTGAATCTGGACAAATAACAAAAGCACAGTTTTACAGTTTGCAGGATTTTAGTCGCCCTATAGGCTTGCCTAGGCGTGGATTTGAGATGTCCTATAACATGATATCTAACTGTTAACCAGAATTCTAATAACTAATTTAAAACTAGCAGTTTGAGTTCATTATGCTCTGTAAACATGTTGTCTAGGTGCGGAACATTATAGGACTGGTTTTGTATATGTTTATCTCTATGATATCTGGGCGTTGGGATTGCTTTTCAACTTATTTTTTTATGGACGTAGTAATTACTGATTTTACACGATGTAGGCGTGGTATTAAAGCGAATGTAATACAGTCCTAAAGCATGATTTCTAATGCACATAAGAGAATGAACATGTTTATTAGGCAGGATTAGCAGCTTAGTGACATAATTTCTAAGTGGTCATGATTATACAGAAGTTCAGAATTTTTCAGAACAAACGAATGCGCCTATAAACATGTTTTCTAATATGCCAAATAATCCTAAGAGCATGGTTTCTAATGCAAGTAAATAATCCTAAGAACATGATTTCTAATGCAAAGAACATGATCTCTAACGCAATAAAATGGTCATAATAAACCTAAGGCCAAGATTTCTACCTAGTTTCCCCACAAAAATTATATAAGAATCCCTCCCTTTTACTAATTTTCCCAATACCTGTTTACAAGAATTATTATTACAGACCATATGAATTACAGAAGGAACAAACTATGCTATAGGGAGCCAGAACAGAGGCCGAAAGTGAACCTGAAAATTCAGGCCTTCAAACAATCCAAAATGCCATAATCTTATAGTGTCCAAGAGGAAGTATCCTGGTGCGTCAAAGTTCCCAAGGGCATCAGGGACCCCGGGGAATGCTCACACCAGGATCCTTTTAAATGGAAAACTGGTTATGTGTAGTGTGGAAGGGCCAGCCCCAGTGTGCCAGAGTTCGGAAGAATCTCATGGATTCCTATGTAGTACGCACACTGGAGGGGCGGAATCTTAAGTAATCTAGGAGTAGGAGTGAGAGTGCTTGACATAGTTGGATTAACCTTAGGAAAACGGTATAGAAGTAAAACGCTTAGGAGTGAAAAATACTTTAGGAGTATAAATAGTTTAGAAAACATATTAGGGGTGAAAACATGTTGAAAACATTCTGGGAAAAGAAAGGTTCAACAAACAACAACATCATATTGCCCAAATTCAACTTCAGTTTGTTAATTAACTCTAGGTGAGGACAAACAATTTTGCAGATAGGGATCAGGGGTTGGGAACACAGGAAGCTTCAATCAGAAACACATAAACAGGATACGAGGGAGAGCATATTGAACAACAAGTACATATAACAAGCAGTCGTTGATTGACAACCAACAACCAAATTCATAACATTCATTAGAACATAGACTACTGATTTAGAGTCCTAACAGGAAAGTCATACTTGATGCTAAAGTAGTAATAGACAGTAAAGCACAGAGACTGAATGTAGGAATAGTCATGCTTAGGACAGGGGTCTACTACACAGAATTATTCATGACAATTAAAGTTAATTAGATAACATGAGAGTCTGAGACACAAAATAAGCATGCTGGTTGGAGGAAGTAAACAGGAAACATGGAAGTACTTAAACTAAAGTAAACATGCTGACTAAGACAATAAACAAGAAGAGTGAAACTTAGACATGCTAATCAGGCTGTAAACAGATTTAACTAGGCAGTAGTTACACTAGTACATAAAAGACATAGCCTTAGCAGAAATGAAGCAACAAGGAGCACATAGATTTTAACTTTATAATGACATTGAGGTAGGAACATACCAGTTAAGGAAGCAGAAACAGAAGGTAAAGTAGGTAGGATTGAACAGTCTAGCCTTGGCTTTCAGCCGGCTAGACAAGCAATGAACATAAGTAGAGAGAGAGAGAGATGAGAGAAATTTATGTGTGTGTGTGTTTGAACTATTTTGTCCTCCCTTTGAGAGGTGGAATGAGAGTGTATATATAGAACTTAGGTAGTAGAACAAATAAGGTAAAGAGAATCAGAGTTCAATCAACTAAGGATCAATCAACCAATCACAAAATCAATTTCTATAGGGAAGTTCGGGAAAGACCCCTTTAATTGGGGAATAGTCAATTAAAGGTCAGAACAGGGGTTCAATTAAGGCAATGAATCAAGATCATACCATGTAGGGAGTCAGTAAAAATCTCCAAACTACTGTCGACTAATTAAGGCAAGTAAGAAAAATAAGGAAGCAGGTGACAAATAAGGAAGCCAGTAAAATCCTAGCACACTGATA